GAAAACCCTTTAAGAAGTAGGGATAGGTAGGGGCTTTCCCAGTAGGGTTCCAGCTGCTCAGGAAATGACTACAATGACTACATTGCCATGACTACAAGCAGGAGATCATGGAAATGAAAAGCTTCTGCACAGCAAAGGAATCAGACAAGGAAAGAGATAATTTGCCAGATGGGAGGGGATCCTTGTTAGCAATTCATTCAGCAGAAGATTGATATTTAAATTATGTTAAGAACTTTAAAAAAACCTGTCAATAGGAAAACAAACAGCCCAATCCAAACATGGGGCATGTAACTGAGCAGTGTTCTCTGAAGAAGAAATACAAAATCCCCTTGCCCCATACCTCACCACACACACCCATAGAACATATTCTCATTCTCTTCACCTTTTTATAAACACATTGGTGCTGAGACTTGGATCTAGAAATTCTGCAGGTTTGCATCCCACCCCAGCTACCACAAGAGATCCATGCTTGCTAGCCTAAAACTGGTAAGCCCCCACCCCATCCCTCAGTGGTCAGAGTAACTGTTCTCATGGTCCCAGTGGAGAGTTTGTGAGCTCAGAACTACCCCTGGGTTGTCCTTGAGGATGGGAGACATTCAATCTTTCACTGGCCTTCATTCTAGGACTTATTCCCTTGGGTGAGATTCCTCTCTCCCTTTGAGACAGTTTCTTTCTTGCAGCTGAGAATTCCAGGCTATGCCTGGACAAATTGCTCTCTGAGGAGCACTGGCTCCAAGTGTTAGTCCTCAGTCCCCACGTGTCTTTCCCAGGGGTCAGTCTTTTTGGTGCCTGGTCCCTATTTACTGTGATGTCTTGGTCTAGTTCACAGTTAACAGAGAATAATATCTTTCTACATGGCCACTCAACTGGTACTTTCTTACAAGTGACCTGTAGGGTAGACTTTCCCCTCTCTCTCATTTGTGCCTGGCTGCAACTACTAGTCCAGCCACTTTGCCTGAAGAGCAGGGATGTCCTGCCAGGGACCCTGTCTGAGACTTGCTTTCTCAAGGGAGCATCCACCATCAGCTTGGCTGCCTGCTCCAGTGCATGCAAGAGAGCCTCTCTCTCTCTCTCCCTTCCTGCCTGGGACTTGTAAAGTGAGTGTACACCGGTACTGGGATACTTCAGCTGCTTGTTTTTCTCTGTCCACCGTGGACTCTGGCTGCCAGAGGCACTGGGCAGTGATTTCTGGGCGCTATTAAGAAGTCCTGCCCCACAGGGGCATGGACCCAAATGCGCACCTCTCCAGCATGCTATACAGCTAAAGCCTCGAATAAACACATTTCAATGCCCAGTCCAGACCCCTGGGTGACCACATCCCTTGAAACCGTCTCTCACTCCTCCCTCTCTCAGGGCTCTTACAGCCCTTTAAAAAAAAAAAAGAAAAAGAAAACCTGGGCCTAGGGTAGAGAAGTTTTCCATTAAGTCCGGGACTTACTGTGTATAGCCTCTAGGTGGCCTCCGAATTATTCTTGGGATGCCAGTTCGAATAACCAAATAACCACCCAATGGGTACTGTGATGTCTTTGAACATATATTTTAAGAGGTCTTCACACATACTGCCAGCAGTCAGGTCTATGGAAAATGTTTTCCAAAGGGCGTACTTATCCCCATGCTCCCACCCCTGGCCTGTTCCCACGGCCTGCATGCTCAGTTTTTGTCACAGGCCTGAATCTGCATGGACAAACTCATTTTTGTCACCACGGCTTTATGCCACTGCTGCCAGCTTTCTTATTCTGGTCCTAGCCAAATGTTCTTTTCTAATACAAAAACATGCTTTTCTGTACCTACACAACCTGCCAAAGTTCCTTAAGACTCTTTTCTATCCTGTCTTGTTAGATTTTTACTACTGCTATTAAATTGTTATGTTGTAACCAATCAATACAGCCCTCATGCTTCTCAGAAGTCTGCTAATAATATTATTAAGATTATTACAGACAGAATTCCCAAAGCCTTTAACAGTTGACCCAAGATGGTCTCAGAAGATGTGGACACACCTGTAAGACACTGTCTGGATTGTAATATGATAATCACTGAGAAACGCAGTGGATAAAACCAGATACCTGAGTCAAATGACTTAGCTAAATAAACGTAAATCATTTCTCATGTCACGTGTATCCATTCCACAGGAAAAACGTCCTGCATCTTCTGTGCTTAGAAGCCAGACAGACTCTGCCCAAGAGGCCATGGAGACCACGGGAACTGTTGGCTAGTGAACTCTGTCATTTTTTAAATATGTAACTGGTAGATTATTGTTTATTCATTCTCAGACTTCTGACTACATTGACAGGTAGAAAAAGCTTTCACAGATGTAATCTGTTACCTCATTACCTAAACTCAGTTTCCATCAATTAAATGTTTCATATTTCCTCTTCTTGCTATGCCACTGTCCTAACATTAACTCTAATAAAACATTCCACTATATGATCCAACTTTTTAATCACAAATTCTTGTTCTGCTCCATCAGAGGCCAATCTTAAAGACTGTTGATGTTAACTCATGTTATTATCTCTGTAAACTTATAAGCTATAGGAAACCCACTCAGATCTACCTCTCATGAGCCAAATAGACTCCACCCAGATAAGTACATCTGCCCAAGGTTCCCACTTACTACCTATTCCAGGGGTGGGACTCCTCTGGGTTTCAAACATACATCTTAAGAAAAAAACCCAGACATACTTAATCTTATTCCCTACATCTTGTCAAGTCCAGGCGAATCCAGAACAGCTCCAAAGAAGCAACCTCTAGATGCTCCATCTTCTGTCATACACAGATGCTTCTACTGGATCTGTTCCTTCTGTCCTGTCCTCAGATGGCTCCATAGACCCTGGACAGCAGGAAACAGCCAACTCTCCTCAGACCAGACAAACATCCTCCATATCCATTCTTCTAGGTTCCCTAGAGACACATCGTTTCCAGTGCCAGCCAGAAGTAGCCAGGTATCACAACGACCCTATTCTTGCTTCGCCATCACCTCTTTCTAATTTTTCTTTTTTAATTCAACCAAAGCAGGGGAATGTTAAGCATTCTGTCTAAACTCCACCCTCACAGTTACATGGCAACAGCCAGGTATGCTCCTCCCCACAATTACCTGGCAATAGCCAGGTAGGCTTGGCCAACTATAAAATGGGCTGCTTGCCCCCTCCTCTCTCTTTTCCTCTCTTGCTTCTCCCTTCCCCTCTCCCCTTCCTCAATGCCTTCCCCCTCTCTCCACATGCTCATGGCTGGCCTCTGCTTCTCTACTCTCTCTCTCCCTCTCTCTGCCTTTCTCTGCCTCTACTACCCTCTTAACTCCCCTCCCCATGCCTTGAAAAAAAAATCTATTCTATACTATACCATCATGTGGCTAGTCATTCAGAGGGAAGAGATGCCTCAGCATGAGCCTGCTGAGACATCCTCTTTCCCCATACTTCACCACACATACCCATAGAACATCTATTCTATTTCTTTATCTTTTTATAAACACATCACAAATGGCTAATAAATATTTTTTAAACATGTTCAGCATCCTCAGCCATTAAAACAGGAGAATTGTAGCTACTTTGGGATTTCATCTCACCTGTGTCAGAGAGGCTTTCATCTAGAGAAAACATGGCAACAGATGCTGGTATGGATGTAAGGGAAGGGAAGTCCTTATTTGCTGCTGTGGGGTTGTAAACAAGTGCAGCCATTATGGAATCAGTGACACCACTCCTGAGTGTATCCCTGAAGGACTCTATATCCTAGCACAAAGTCCCTGGAACATGATGTTCATCACTGCTCTAGTGACAACAGCTGGGAAATGCAATCAGCCCAGAGGATAAGTGGATAATGAGGATATGCCACAGAGACACAATGGAACTGGGTTCCTGCATAACATCAATGGAAGTGTATAACATTCAGACAAACTGGCAGAGCCTCTGAATGTTAAGTGAGGTCACCCAGTGTCACAAAGGCAAACCTGATATTCTCTCTCATATGTGGATTTCAGCTTCTTATATTTAGGTATGTACATTTATGCAGCAGGAAGTGTTTGCAGAGGCCAGAAAACTGGAAGGGGGCCCATAAGAGGGATTAAAAAATAGCTTTGGGGGAGAGAGATAGTAGCATATATAGGATATACAAGTGGACAGCAGAATAATTTGAACTGAGAACTTTGAACAGGCAGGACAGCCGGAGAGCTGCGGCACAGGACTGGCTGTGGTGGAGCCAACCCAAAAGTGGTATGTGTGAACAAGCTATAAGGAAATATGCTCCTTTCTCAAGTTCTTGTTCAAGTTTTTTTCGAGACAGGGTTCATCTGTGTAGCCCTGGTTGTCCTGGATCTCACTCTGTAGACCAGGCTGGCCTCGAACTCAGAAATCCACTGGTCTCTGCCTCCAACTACTGGGATTAAAGGCATGTGCCACCACAGCCCGGCCTTTCTCAAGTTCATACAAAACAAAATAAAGTTTGAACAGTGATATGCTTAGTGGGTGGATGAGCTGTTCCCTGAAGCCAAAGACTATTCAGTGGGAATCTTAGACCCAATGGTGGGCTACTTCTCCATGATATGATGACCAGGAAGGGTCCCGAGCAGCCCCCACAACCCTCACCAAACAGTCAAGGAATTGTAGTGCTGGTTATGTTGATAATGGCTTCTCATAGTTCCCTTCTAGACAAGGAAATAGCAGTGGGTGTTCTGGATACAATTTTATCCTCCTGTAAATAAAATGGTTCTAGTGTAGCTGGGTGTTGTTGTGCATACCTTAAATCTTAGCCCTAGGAGGCAGAGGAGCAGAGGTAGCTGGATCTTCTTGAGTTTGAGGACAGCTTGATTTACAGGTTCTAGACCAGCCAGAGGCACATAGTGTGATCCAGTCTCAACCAAAACCAAAACGAAAATGAAGAAATAACAACACAGCTTCAACAACAACCCTCCACCCCTCAGGTGTTCCTGAGGAATCTGGTCACACAAACTGCTCTCTTCCTCCAAGCTCAAGCTAGCATCAGAAGAGCGGCAGACCCAGGATGTGTGGGTGATAGGGAAGTTTGTTGCTGCCTGGATGGTGGGTTGGGGATGTTCTGTAGTGCAGAAGACAGAGAAGGGCCTCTCTGTGAACAACCCCTGAGTGAAATAAGCCATAACTGGAGGTTCCTCTGCTCTGGTACCGGAAGACTACACCTGAATCCACAAGTAAGTAGGATTTCTGATCAGCTGCACGTAGAACCCTTCACATACCTGCTCCTGAGTAGTGATGCCAGTGGCCCTCCTGTGATGTTACCTCTTCTCTGGGAGCAAGGTCACTGGGGTAGTTCTCTATGGACTCCTCTGAGCTGGGACATTCAGGTAACAGATGGGATGGAGAGTGTTGGTATCTCGGTGCTCTGGAGAGAAGAACAGCTGGGAAACAAAGGCAGATGTTTTCAGATCTCAGGCCACAAGATCTTGGCTCTCTGTTCTGCAGTTCCTAGATCTGAATCCTACCTGCCTTGTCCCTGAAGGGAGGGACTGCTGTGAGGTTAGGTTATGGTTTCTTTTCCCATTCCCCTCTGTCGGTTTACACAGTCAGCTGAAAATGTTTCACATCCTTCAACTGAGTGGGAGGTGGAGCTCTGCTGAAGTGTCCAACTCCAGGGCTTCCTGTGTGCTCTAGAGGGTATTATAGAAATACTAGTCCAGTGTCATGGCTCCCACCCCAACACTGACCATTCTGATTCCCTACCTCAAGACCCTCTTTTCCTATGGTGTCATCTATTGCTGGGTCAGAACTGACTCTCAGACCCAGTGATCCTATGGTTCAATGATTGCAGACACTTCCTGTAGCCTTGTCCTGTGCTTATTCTGTTGATATTCTTTCTCTCATCTTTCTCCCTCTCCCTCTCTTTCCACCCCCACTCTGTGTAGGTGGATATGTAGATGCTGCTTTTTTCTCAGATATAATTTTCCTTATTTTGACACAGACACACTCACTGGCCTGGACTTCATCAATTAAGCACGAGTGGCTGATGAGTGAGCTTCAGGGATCTGCCTCCCTCCTTCCTCAGTGCTGGAATTACAAATTCCCTCCACTATGTCTGTCTTTTATGTGGATTCTGTGTATCTAATTCATAACTTTCTCATTGAAAGACAGTTACTTTACCAATTAATTATCTTTCTCCCTAGCCACTCATCCATGGAGATGGTGAACATTATGATTAATGTGTTAAGTTTGCTGTGCTAGATTTTGTAAAAAACTAAATTATTTTTAGCTTGTATAAGCCATGAGGAAGTTGCTTCAACTTTGAATGTACTCCGTCAGCTGCCTGATTCAACTGTTTCCTGGAGAAGTTGGGCAACCCTTTAAAAATTGCAAAATGTTCAGCAATGTTTCAGTGCTCCTAGATAATCTTACAAGGTAATGGGTCACAAATAAACAAGCTAACTGCTAAGCTCTGCTGTTGTATGAACTGCTTGCTTGGAGGGCTGAGGGCCCTGCTGGAGGTCTGTTACAGAATCAAGGCTTGTCCACACACAGATAGGATTAGGGTTAATTTGATCCCTAATAATAACTGTGGTTTTAATTCTCTATAATTCTTTGGCTAACAACATCTGGGACCTTACCTAGATAATACTCTCTGGTTTGGGATTGGTCAGTCTCCTTTCTAATAAAATACCTCTAATTTATTTTATTCACTTTTATTTTTTTTTATTTTTTATTGGATGTTTTATTTACATTTCATATGTTATCCTCTTACCCAATACCCAACCCCACCCAGGAACCCCCTATCTCCTCAGCCCTCCTCCAGCTTCTCTGCAGTTGTGCCCCTGTCCCCCCACTCCCACCTCCCCACCCTCAAATTCCCACCCACTGGGGCTTCCAGCATTCATGAGACCAAGTATCTCTTCCCCACCTATGCCCGACAGGGCCCTCCAACCTTACATATACAGCTGAAGCCATGGATCCCTCCCTAAGTGCTCCCAGGCTGGTGATTTAGACCCTGGGAGCTCTGGTTGGTTGGTATTGTTGCTCTCCTCATGGGGCCCGAAAACCCTTTCAGCTCCAATAGTCTTCACTCTAACTCCTCCATTGGGAACCTCATGATCAGTTCAATGGCTAGCTGCGAGCATCTTGCAGACCTCTGAGGAGACATCTATAACAGGCTCTTGTCAGCATGCACTTCCTGAGTTCCACATCAGCATCTACTTTTGGTAACTGCACATGGAATGGATACCAGGTAGAAAGGTCTCCAGATGGCCCCTCCTTCAGTTTCTGTCCCTCACTTTGTCTCCATATTTGCTCCCTTGAGTATTTTGTTGCTCCTTCTAAGAAGGACTGAATCACCCCAACTTGGTCTTCCTTCTTCATGAGCTTCATGTGGCCTGTGAGTTGCATCATGGGCATTTCAAGGTTCTGGGCTAATATCCAATAATCAGTGAGTGAATACCATGTGTGTTCTTTTGTGATTGGCTTACCTCACTCAGGATGATGATTTCTAGTTCCATCCATTTACCTAGGAAACTCTCAAATTCATTGTTTTTAATAGCTGAGTAATACTCCATTGTGTAAATATACCACACATTGTGTAAATATACCATTTTTTGGATCCATTCCTAAGTTGAAGGACATCTGGGTTCTTTCCAGCTCCTGGCTATTATAAATAAGGCTGTTATGAACATAGTTGAACAGATGTCCTTGTTATATGTTCGAGCATCTTCTGGGTATATGCCTTGGAGTGGTATAGCTGGATCCTCAGGTAATGCTATGTCCAATTTTCTGAGGAACTGCGACACTGATTTCCAAAGTGGTTGCACCATCTTGCAGTCCCACCAACAATGGAGGAGTGTTCCTTTCCTCTTTCTCCACACCCTTGCCAGCATCTACTATCACCTGAGTTTTTAATCTTAGCCATTCTGACTGGTGTGAGATGGAATCTCAGGGTTGTTTTGATTTGCATTTCCCTGACGACTAAGGATACTGAACATTTCTTTATATGCTTCGAGTCCATTCGAGTTTCCTCAGTTGAAAATTCTTTGTTAAGCTCTATATCCCATTTTTTAATAGGGTTACTTGGTTGTCTGGAGTCTAATTTCTTGAGTTCTTTGTATATATTGGATATTATCCCTCTATCAGAGTAGGATTGGTAAAGATCTTTTCCCAATTTGTTGGTTGTCATTTTGTCCTATTGACAGTGTCCTTTGCCTTACAGAAACTTTGCAATTTTATGAAGTCCCATTTGTCAATTCTTGATCTTAGAGCATCAGCCATTGGTGTTCTGTTCAGGAACTTTTCCCCTGTGCCCAAGTATTTGAGGTTCTTCCCCACCTTCTCTTCTATTAGTTTCAATGTATCTGGTTTTATGTGGAGGTCCTTTATCCACTTAGACTTGAGCTTAGTACAAGGAGATACAAATGGATTGATTTGCATTCTTCTACATGTTGTCCTCCAGTTGAACAAGCACCATTTGTTGAAAATGCTGTCCTTTTTCCACTGGACAGTTTTAGCTCCTTTGTCAAAGATCAAGTGACCATAGGTGTGTGGGTTCATTTCTGGGTCTTCAATTCTATTCCATTGATCTTCCTGCCTGTCTCTGTACCAATACCATGCAGTTTTTATCACTATTGCTCTGTAGTACAGCTTGAGGTCAGGGATGGTGATTCCTCCAGAAGTTCTTTTCTTGTTGAGAATAGTTTTCGCTATCCTGGGTTTTTTGTTATTCCATATGAATTTGAGAATTTCCTTTTCTAACTCTGTGAAGAACTGAGTTGGGATTTTAATGGGAATTGCATTGAATCTGTAGATTGCTTTTGGCAAGATGGCCATTTTTATTATATTAATCCTGCCAATCCATGAGCATGGGAGATCTTTCCATATTCTGAGATCTTCTTCGATTTCTTTCTTCAGGGACTTGTAGTTCTTGTCATACAGGTCTTTCACTTGCTTGGTTAGATTCACACCAAGGTATTTTATATTATTTGTGAGTATTGTAAAGGGTGTCATTTCCCTAATTTCTTTTTCAGTCTGTTTATCTTTCATGTAGAGGAAGGCTACTGATTTGTTTGAGTTGATTTTATAACCAGCCACTATGCTGAAGTTGTTTATCAGGTTTAGGAGTTCTCTGGCGGAAGTTTTGGGGTCACTTAAGAATACTATCATATCATCTGCAAATAGTGATATTTTGACTTCTTCCTTTCCTATTTGTATCCCTTTGACTTCTTTTTCTTGTCTAATGGCTCTGGTCAGGACTTCCAGTAGTATAGTGAATAGGTAGGGAGAGAGTGGGCAGCCTTCTCTAGTCCCTGATCTTAGTGGGATTGCTTCAATTTTCTCTCTATTTAGTTTGGTGTTGGCTACTGGTTTGCTGTATATTGCTATTACTATGTTTAGACATGAACCTCAAATTCCTGATCTTTCCAAGACTTTTATCATGAAGGGATGTTGAATTTTGTCAAATTCTTTCTCAGCATCTAGTGAGATGATCATGTGGTTTTTTTTCTTTGAGTTTTTTTATATAGTGGATTACATTGATGGATTTCCAAGTATTGAACCATCCTTGCATTCCTCGGATCAAACCTACCTGATCATGATGGATGATTCTTTTGATGTGTTCTTGGATTTGGTTTGTGAGAATTGTATTGAGTATTTTTGCATCGACATTCATAGGAAAGATTGGTCTGATGTTTTCTTTGTTGGGTTTTTGTGAGGTTTAGGTATGAGCACACTTGTGGCTTCAAAGAATGTGGGTAGTGTTCCTTCTGTTTCTATTTTGTGGATTAGTTTGAAAAGAATTGGTATTAGGTCTTCCTTGAAGGTCTGATAGAATTCTGCACTAATACCATCTGGACCTGGGCTTTTTTTGGTGGGGAGAATGTTTTAATGACTATTGCTATTTCCTTAGGGGTTATGGGACTGTTTAGATGGTTTATTTGCTCCTGATTTAACTTGGTACCTGGTATCTGTCTAGGAAGTTGTCCATTTCATCCAGGTTTTCCTGTTTTGTTGAGTATAGGCCTTTGTAGTAAGATCTGATGATTTTTTGAATTTCCTCAGTTTCTGTTGTTATGTCTCCCTTTTCAGTTCTGATTTTATTAACTTAGATAGTGTCTCTATGCCCTCTGATTAATCTGGCTAAGGGTTTATCTATCTTGTTGATTTTCTCAAAGAATCAATTCCTGGTTTTGTTGATATTTTGTATTGTTCTTTCTGTTTCTATTTG